TCCTGTGGCACCTTTGAGACAAACAGAAGTTCTGGGAGCATAAGCTTTGGTGGGTAAGACCCTCTTTTCTTCAGTTGCAAGAAGTGGGTTTCTTCCCCACGAAAGCTTATGCTCCCAGTACTTCTGTTAGTCTCAAAGGTGCCACAGGACCCTCTGTTGCTATCATCATCAATGAGGCACATAGGTTAAAACCCCCATGGATGTGTTTCTCTCCAGCTCCCACCCAACTGAGGGACAGACTTAGCCTCCCAAAGGGACCACAGAGCAAATCTTTAAAACCCAGCCTCCCTTTTTGCACTGGCTATAAATACTTACAGTTTCACACCTGTAATTATGCGCCGGAGCAACTGATGTTTAACTAGCTGTCACGCAGGCCCAATCACAGAGATGTTTAAATTACACCAATTGCACACACAATAATCTTCCAGCTGCAAAAGTTTAGGCCCAACGAGCGAGCCTGGGTTGAGGTTCCATTTGAAATCAGGCCTTTCTTAATGTGCATTTCTATTTGTGGCCAGTGGGGCTTTTTAATAAGATGCAAAATGCAAGAAATAAAAAAAATTGCAAAAGAATATTTCCTCGTATCTAGGCGGAGTGCTATGCAGCCACTTCCAGTCTTTGTTTTTTCTGTGCCACCAGGACAATGCATAGAGTTTCTGTAACAGGTTCTCACCAATCCACTATTTCAGGATCTAGGTGTATCTACGTACTAGCAAAAATTTATATAAGTTAATTCCCACACTCCCAAGTAGTGAATCATTAAGGGAACAAAGAAAGGTGCCTCCTTTTAAGCATCATTGCCACCTGCATTATGAACATACGCCCAAGAATACCTGCTGCCTATTTAACCCTTTATGAAAGCAAATAAATATATACTGCAGTCAGTTCTGGGATTGCCTTAACCTTCTGACACATATGCCAAGAGGAAATACATTCCTGCATCTAAAAATGCTAATACAAGGGTGAAAAAAAATCCCATGTTGTACTGACCGAGGGATGCAGCTAAGTCTTGATCCTCAGAAATGCTAGCACTATCAGCTCCCACTAGCTTTGATGAGAGTCTAAGGATGGGCCGCCTCTCACAGGTTATGCTTAGCACGTTGCCAGATCAAGCCCTGAATGAGCTCTTCATGCTGACCAAGCTTACAACTCTTATTTAGCTATTCACCGTGCTAGTCACTGATCCCTAGTTCAAATGAAGTTTTTGACATTGTCAGGGCCAGGCAAGAGGCAGACTACAGCTACAACTGGCCAGTTCTTCCGTGGCTTCTGGTCACCAGCGCTGGCAGGTTAGGGCGTCATCTTGAGTTAAGAATCTGCAAGGCAAATGAAAATAGGGGTAGGGTCATAACCTTTGTGGCTACATTTGGCCCAGAACGCAGGCTCGGTTGGTTTCTGTGTAAAATGTTGCAAACAAGCGTGCCACAAATAAATGAAACGAGATAAGCTCTGTGTGCCGTATTAGCACATGAAAGAAAAAGCAACAGACGCGGCAAAGGTTTGCCACATCTTGTTCACATTTCAAAATATGTTGGTAGCAAGAGGTAGGTGCTTCTGGGCGATTGCTGCTGGTCACTCCTCCAGCCTGAGGAATCCTTCAGTTTCATGGTACTGAGGATAACTCAGGTGTGAGGTGAGAAAGGAGCAGATGAGCGATCAGTGCACTGCTAAGAATTGTCAGTATTCCCATTATACTCTTGTTGGTAAGGATAAGCCTGAATCTGAGTGGAACGTTACATAGGGATGCTGGGGCCAGATCTCAGCTGCTGCAAATTAGCATAAATCCAGAGAAATTAATGAAGCTATTTATAGCAGCCGAGGGTGTTCCTCCAATCTAAATGTCACGGCTGGGTTAAACCAGGACCCCAGATTCGAACGTGCTTGGAGTTTGGGAACGTTCACATCAAGAGCTGACTTTGCGCTTTGAGAATCAAGCATCTCTAGTCTTAGGGCTTTATAACCGTCTCTAAAACTTTGTTCCATTCTAAAACTTGTCGTCTGGCCAAGACGCAGTTCTAGCCCAGGAACAAACATCCGTGAACCTGTCTTTGTAAAAACTAGGGAGAGCTCCTTAGCTAGTCCAAATCAGTGTGTCACTCCCTTCACTTCAATGGCATTTGCAGCACATGTATTGACTCTTTCTAAGGCCTGGGCTACACTAGCGGGGGGGTTCGAACTAAGATACACAACTTCAGCTACACTATTCGCGTAGCTGAATTCGAAGTATCTTAGTTCGACTTACTTGGCCATCCTCATGGCGGCAAGTCGACCGCCGCGGCTCCCCCGTCGACTCCGCTTACTCCTCCTGCCGAGGTGGAGTACGGGCGTCAATTCGGGGATCGATTTATCGCATCTAGATGAGACGCGATAAATCGATCCCCGATACATCGAACACTACCCGCCGATCCGGCGGGTAGTAGAGACGTACCCTAAGAAATGAGGATGAGAATTGTGTCTCCCCACCCCCTGGTACCTTGTGTAATCCTGTTCTCTAGTGCAAAGTAAGCCCGATTCACTGGTGTTGCTGGCTACTTTGTGCCTCGCTAGCAATGCAAAGTACCTGTAGAACCAGCCAGTTAAACTGAGTTTATAGCTACATTGCTCTTACTCTTGGCTCAGGGTGTTTTTTGACTAGTTTCTTCATGTCTTTGAAATTCTCCTTTCTAAAATTTAGTGTCACTGTCCTAGTTTCTGGTAGATGGTTCTTCCTCCAAGAAGGTTAAATATAATTATATTGTCACTTTTCTTTAATGGCTCAGCTATAATCTCACCCAACACAAACTCATAAAGTGTTAAGGTTCAGCTTAGCACGTCCTGCACATCTCTGCTGTGGATTATGCATTTCAGCGGAGGGGTTACGTGAGAGAGTTTGTTTGATTGATTGGGTGAAGTCTCAGGACTCATCCACAAGAATTGTTTGAATGGGAAGGTCATCGGAATCTTGGTCTCTTAAAAAATATTGACGTTGATGAGCCAAATGACATTTGACAAAAGCAAAGGACTGGAAATTGTGGGTTTAGTTCTGGAATCAGACACAACTGAAGTAGAAATAGGGCAGAAGCTTAAAGCGATTAAGCCAAGTGGGATCAAGAATTGTGGTGGTTAAAGTGTCTGGCAGCCAGGACCGAAATGCTATGCCACGGAGCTCAGCAAAAGCTAGTGATTAGAAATAAGACTCAGGAATAAGAAAATCCTAACAATAATTTGTATGTATAGAGCACATTCTGCTGAGTAGCCCCAAGTGCATTGCAACCATTCATTAATCCAATGGGCAGTAAGTCACTCTAATTACCTTTCTACAGATGGGTAAACGGAGGCATCAAATTTGCCTCTTCCATGTCATCAGTGACCTTGCTTAGTCAGAAAGGGAGACGCTTCCTCCCTTTGCCTTCAGAGTGGCTGCAAATGAAAAAGGATTTGAAGTCCCCTCTTCTATTTCCCCCAAACTGTGAGTTAAACATCAAGGGGAAACTGAGAGGTTTGGGGTAAAATTGTCAAAAATGCCTACGGCCTAGGACGCAGAAGCCTAGAACACATACGGGCCCTAACCACTCGGCTATTAAGTATCCTGTCTCAAACATGTATCCCCAGCCTGTCTTTCATGTGAGGCCCAATCTTCTAGGTGCTCTCTGAGAACACCAGCAGGGTCAGGCCTAGCAGGGGGCTAGGTTGGGGAATGCTTAGTCTGGGAATGTTGCGCGGGCTAAGGCTCCAAGCTAAGGGTGACGTCAGAACTTAGTCAGCTTTGCGCCTGCCTCCTGGTGGGAACGTAGGGGGCTTTAGGCCGCAGCTGAACAGTGGTTTTGATAATGTCATCAGCATCTAAATGTTGGAGTTAGGTGCCCAAGTATCTTTATGGCTCTGGCCCCAAGGGACTAGGAAGCCTAAATCACATAGGTGCTTTAGAAATGTTGCCCATTAAGACTTGTCTTTGGATAACTAGGCCCTTGAATTCTGGCTGTGCATACCTATTAGCTGATTTTGAAACGTCCTTATCTGTGTCATTTGGAGGCTTGCTTCACCACTGCCTGGATCCACTTTTATGCAGCTGTCACTGCGCTGAGATCACAGGAGCTGTGCAGTGGTGAATCAGGCTACTGCTTGCCTTTCCAGTGCATGAAAATCAGTCCCATGGGCTAATCAATTGTTTAGAAATGAAAGCTGCTTGTTTGTTTAATGGGGGAGGAGGGGAACTAAGCAA